AACATGTCCTTATACATTGTTAGAGTCTCTAACCCCAAAATGCCACATGAAAATAGAAAACAAAGGGCAATTTCTGACAATTCAGAATCCGACTCAGAAATCGAAAATAAAATCAATAGAAATATGCAGGGTATGAAGAAGATAAAAAGAATAAGATACAGCGATCAAATACTTCATTTGAATGTTCTCGTGCACAGAACGGGATTGCCCGTCACACTTTGCAGTGTTATATCGATAATACATCGTTCACGTCAGACCCTGCCGTCCAGGGAAATACCCACACGCAGAATTCGGCCGTACCTAAAAGGTTAATTCATACTATCCAAATGAAAGCATTCTTTTCACAGATATTCATCCATCTATTACATCCATTGTACTATAACATCGTCATGATAATTATCTTCATAGTTAATTAACTTTGAATTCCAATAAGACCATAATATCCAAATACTTGTATTATAAGAACAATCCCTTTAACCTAATATAATTCCATAAATACTTCTAGTGAAAGAACTTATATTTTTAATGAATATTGAAAACGAATTTCAATGAATTTCAATATTCATTAAAAATATAAGTCATAGTATAATTATTAAAAATGATGATATTATAATTGATCAAATACATACATATCAATCAAAATGAAACTGAATTATTATATAAACTTGGAACATAGTAAATATGAAATAAGATATGCTCAATAAATGCTATATCAAATCTTGACAAACTGTACATTAGTTCGACAGATTATACTGCAAAATGGAAATATGTTGGATTAATAAGCTATTCTGAAATAACCCACGGTATTTTACATGGAATTTATTCATTTAATACTGTTTGTATAATAGCTTATAATTGCACTTAAACTGGAATATGAAACATTGGTATATTGATCATTGAAAGTTTAGTAATTCGCTGGAAAACCCACAGAAATTCTATCTGCCGAATTCTATGTTTGTTCGCATCTATTTTTAATTTTATACTTCACTAGCTGGTCTACCCACGTTGCAGGATTAAAAATAAATATTATTTGCAAGGTTGAATGAGAGACTAACATATTCATGAAATTCCTGGGTTTTATATTTGAAGAAAAGGTGATATCAATAATGAATTTTACTTTTTTAATGATTGGAATATTAAAGAAACTGTTGTCTAAATTAGACAATGAAATTCCATAGCCAATTAATTGGATTGTTTATTTTTAAAGTGGTGTAGGTGTAAATCCATTTTAATTTATTTTGAAACAATTAAAGTTAGCGTATATGTCAACGAAAAAATATAGGTTAATTATATCAAGACTGGCAATTCAGGAATTTTTGTACTGATTGATCAATATATAATTTGATTATACAAATTTGTTTTAGGTGATTTATCTAAAATAATGTATATTCATGTAAATGGACTTACAGCACATTCCAAATAAACGGTCCAATTCTTGAGGTCTATCTTGTTGAATAACTTGTAACTATTACAGAGCTCCTTCTTTATGCGTTTTCATAACAAAGAATATGCAACATGTATGACATCGTGGCGACGTATATGACGTCATTTTTGCCGCCAAAATGCACGTGAAATTGTAAATAAGGTGACCTTTGTGGTACCCCTTCAATTTTGATCACCACAAAATTATCTTAAAACCATTCACAGTATCGGATCTACCTCGTGACGACACGACACGTTCCGTTATACATTTCGTTATACAGTCTACAATATTCCCCGATAAACGGATTACCTACAGAAAAATATTTTTTTTATATTCGACTGGCAGTTCCTAAGATTAATACGTTTAAACAAACTCTCTATTTTATTATATTAGTGTGGATTAATCGTACGTGTTCGGCCGAGAATCGAGACCTTTGCCGCGACTAAGGGACTTATTACAGGGTTCAAGTGGTTTGACGCGTAGACCACCGTCAATAAGTTTATATCTCGAAATACGGGTCACTGAGGACTCTTTTGTTTATCAAGTCCTGTCCGGACCAGTCTTAGCCTAAGCATGTGCTTGCCATACATCGGCTAACAGCGATACCTTTCCTTTTTGAACAGTTTTAACAAATAAAAGCGTAGAGTGTTTCTTAACTGTCACTCTCGGAAACGCGAGGGCGTTTGGGCGATTTTTCTACATCAAAAAAACAGTCGAACGTTGAATCTTGTGCGGGGCGGATCGAGAGTCAAGAAGTTCCGCCTAACATGACGTAGAATAACTATTTGTAGGGTGGTTCGGAGATCAGTCATTACACTATTCGAGCGGGACGCTGCATTCCTCAAATAGGCCATTTGCAGGATGGTAAAGATCATATATCGTAACGCTATTCGAGTGGGACCCTACACTCCTCGAATCGATCATCGTGAATAATCCCACGCAACGTGGATTATAACACGAATCGAAACAACATTGAGCTCGAGCTTGTGTAACAACCCTGGAACCTAAGTTCAGCTAGTTACAAGCGCTAAAAGGTAAAGAGCGGCTTTTACCTCTAAACGACTCGATTCTACAAATTAAGATTGTGGGATTCGTGTGGTGTGCGGTTAAGGAGTGAAATCCACAGGTCAAAATCTTTCAACAATTAGATTTATTCAATAAAACGATAAGAAAATGAAACTAACAATTAACAATAACAACAAATAAAGAAAAGTATAGAAATTATAAATGATTAATTACAATAGAGAAACTAGATAGATCTTGAATAATAATAATAATAATATTTGATGAATTAAATAATATGTAATTGACAATTGTGAATTTAACGATTTGAAACTCGCTATTCAATACTTTATATTGGACCGTATCTGAGTCGGGTCTCTGA